GGGGCCCACGAAGTTTTTTGTTTGGTCGGATTTTAGTGTTTAACAAGTCGTTCTGAATGAGCCGCGATCTCACACCCACAAATCCACGTTGTGGAGTTAAAGACTGGCCGCTTAGGACCCGCGCTGTCGGGCAGCAGTACCCTGCTTTTTCGGAGTCATGCTGCCCTGTGGATGGCCTGTGTGCTCTCCAGGCCACTGTCGTCCCTTCGGTCGCTCCTCTGGTCCTTAGGCATTTGAGTTTTGACCCCTGCGTCAGAGTCAGATGAGCTGGGCTTGCCACCCTCCCCAACTTCCTAGTCAGTCAGTCAGCCAGCCGTTTGAGCCTCCACGTCCTCGGATGGGAAAGACGGTGGTGTCTTCATGGGCTTTCTGTGGAGAGTGTTATAAACAACAAATGTACAAGAAAATGTCACAGCTGTTATCTAAACACTCACCCTATGCCGCGGGCCTGCTGCCCCGTCCTTCGTGCTTGCGCCGAGGAGTACGGATTCGCCTGCGGTTTGGCACGTGCAGGTTTTGTACATCAAATACTGGCCTGGAGAGACACCAGCATCTGGTCAGCACATGGCAGCTGACAGCTACCCCCATCGCCTGTCAGTCTTCTTAGAGCCATCGCAAAGGCTCTGCCTGTGCAGTCAATAGCGAGTCACCCAGGTACAGACTGCTGCCCAGCACCTTCTTCCATCTGAGGGCCCTTCCACACACGGGACAGCGGCCAATGGGCCTTCGGCTCCACATTGCACATCAGTGCAGAGATAAACTAAGAATGTGCCTCATCTTAAAATCTGCTCCTAGGACTTTTTGTTTTTTGAATCCTCACCTGAGGACACACTTTTAGAGAAAGAGCAAGAAAAATAGGAAGAGAGAAAGAGAAACATTTATGCTAGACAGAAATAACAACTGGTTGCCTCCCCCACGTACCTGGACTTGGGATCAAACCCACAACCCAGGCATATGCCCTGACAGAATCGAACCCCTGACCTTTCAGTCACCAGACCACGTTCTAACCGCTGAGCCACAACAGCCTGGGCTAGGATAGTGGTGTTGGCATTAGAGTGCCTCCCGTGTCCCCCTGCTTCCCCTCTCTTCAGAGCTGACGCAGTTTCTGGGATAACTTTTCAGCTTCAGAGGCTGGAAGAAGTCAGGGCTCTTTCCTAGTCCTTTTTACAAACTCCTTTCTCACAATTCACCTCAAAACTCAGGTCAACTGTGTTTCATTAGCAGCATCTTGATACTAAAAAAGAGTTCAAGAGAGGCAATAAATAGAAAGGTAAGTCAGGTGATATGGTTTTGAAATGAAACAAGTTTGTATAGTAACTGGTTCCAGATTGCCTTACAGTCTTGCTTGGCAGGTAGAGATTTATTCCTGATAGCGAACCAGATGTCACACTTGCTCTTCTAAGGCATTTGCTTTTATCTCCAGCAGTTCCTGATGGAATAGATACAAAGAAAAGAGTAGAGCCTTGTTTAAGCAGGGAGTAGTGTGTTTGCATCCTGACACCGGAGAGGATCTGATCATCTGAGAGCTTCCAATGTAGGTCTTAACAGCTTTCAAAAATCAAACACGTCAAAACAAAACAAAACAAAATAAAACAAAACAATATAAAACCTGAGTAAGAAACAAAAAGTACAGAGAGGCAGTCACACATTTTGCAATCATGTGTAAGAAGACAGAATGTGCCCATGACATAAAAACCACCTACAGCTTTGGCTCTTTTAGAAGAACAGGGCCTCTAAAAGTCAGCTAATGGTTTTATGGAAGAAAAACAACCAGTCGCTTGATAATGTTTCATTGTAACAGTGAACCCAGAACTCCTCTGAGACTCCTTTCAGCTGGAGTGGCAGCCTGCTCCCCCCACAGCCCTCAGCAGCATCCTGCCCTGGGCCTTTCCTGCCCCTTCCTTCCTCCTTCTCTCTGTGGCACAGTCCTGGTCGGCCTTTGTGAGTCAGTGAATGTAAGTGCTCAGGCTCTTGGGTGAGTCATACAAACCCACTGCAAACTGGTATTTAAAAAAAATCACAGTCCTCAACAAAATCCCCAATAGCACTGATCCGAGGACCTTCTCTCCAGACCTGTCATTAGCAGGAATCGGCCCCTAGCCCCTAGCCCCAGTGTCTCTTAGCTCAAAATCTTGAGAGACATTTTGCTCCGGTGTGGCTCACATGTCTGTTCTGCTCCAGGCAGCTCTGCCCAGGTGGAGGGTCTCATGTGAACATGGGTGTCAAGGCTCATCCCGAAGTCAGGGGAGTGCTGGCAGAGTAGGTTATGGGCTGGCAGATGCTCCAGGAGGAATCCGCCATGTTTCAGGACTTGGCTTTGATTCGTGGTTGTGGCCGGGGTGGAGGAAGTTCTGTGGAGAGTGACTGCCAGAGAAAGGCATTACTGTATTTTGCCATGTACAATGTGTACCCACATATTTGTGTGCATTATACACGGAATTATTATACCCATTTTATGCCTATGGTATGTAATCATTATACTCATGTATAATGCACATCCTTATTTTTCCCTCAAAAATTTCAGCCAAAAACTGCATTATACATGGCAAAGTACATTTGTGGGGAATGAGAGATTGCATGATAAACAGAGGGACTGTCGTGGGGGGGAGTTGTATTAGTTTTATATTATTGAGATAACAAATTACCACAAAATTAGAGCCTTAAAACAACACAAATATGTTTTCTTACAGGTCTGTATTGCAGAAGTCTGACAGGTCTTACTGGGCTGTGAGTAAGGAATCGGCAGGGTCTTTCTGGAAGCTCTCAGGGAGCATCTGTGTCTTGCAGCATTTCAAGGCCAGGCAGGTTCACACAGGATTCAGGCAGACAGAAGAAAATTCGTGGAGCTGTGGGGATGCCTGACATGCCTTTATTCCGGGGTGGGGCAATCCATGCACACCACAGGTTGCATGCCCCACTGTGCGAAGCCCCAACTGCCTTATATACCAAATGCACACAAAGCCGGCAGCGTGCCAAGAGATTACGAAACAGAGCATGATTCTGTGCCTGCGGGCCCAGACTCACGGTCATATGAACACTGCTAAGTTATAATTGCCCGGACATCTGGGTGAGGGAGCCTGACTGACTCCATTTTCCCCACAATCTGTTACTTTACTTTTCTGGCTTCTGAGGCCACCAGCATTTTCTTGACTCATCACACGTTCCTCCACATTCACAGCCCTTCCTGGCACCTCTTCTGTCATCACAACTCTCTCACTGACCACAAAAGGGAAAGGTTTTCCACTTTACAGTTCCCGTGATTAGATTGGGCCCAACTGGGTAATTCAGGGTAGTCTCTCCACCTCATGGGTTGTAACTTTAATCCTATCTGCAAAGTTCCTTGTAACGGGCTGCCCCATATTCATATATTGAAGTCCTAAACCCCAGAATGTAGACTGACTTTGAAATGGGGTAATTGCAGATATAATCATGTAAGTCTTCAAGGTGGGCCTTAACCCAATATAACTGAAGTCCTTATCAAAAGGGGGAAAGACACAGACACATATAAAAGGAGGATGACATCAAGAGATAGAGGGAGAAGATAGCTATCTACAAGCTAAGGAGAGAAGCCTGGAATGTGCCTTTCCCTCACAGCCCTCAGAGGGAAGAAAGCCTGCTGACACCCTGACTTTGACTATGAGAGAATAAATCTCTCTGTTCAAGCCTCCCAGTTTGTGAGACTTTGTTAAAGCAATCCTAGCAAACTAATATGCCTCTTTTGCCCTGGAAAGTAAATATTCAGTGGTTCTGGGGATTAAGACATAGACATCTTTGGAGAGCCGTATTCTACTTATCGTAGGTTTAACCAGTGAATCTCAATCTATTGTTATTTACTCACCTTTTTCTTGGGGCTGTTCCCTGTAGCTTATATACCATAAGTGAAAGTGTGGGCTGGACCACAGGCTTGTTGCTCACAAGCACCCTGAAAGCAAGAGAGCAGACTCAGAGCATTTGGTCTTTGTGTGGGAACATGGTACAACTTCAGGCACACTGGCATTTGTAAACCACAATGCGAAGGTGCTGGCACTTATTGCTATTTTTTGAGAGGGAGACATTGTATTCCCAGAATCCAGTAAACTAGACATTGTTAGCTACTTAATTAGAACAAGAAAAACATGGGAGTGATGTTAGTGAAATGGCAGGAGTTTTCTACTGTATGCCCCCCCGAGAACAGTGACTCTGACAACCACCTGGGGATGAGAGTGCCTTTGTGGCAGCCTGAGGGTTCAGTGGAGAACTTCTGGGACACCAATTGAGAAAACAAATCTGAGATTGGACACATTGAGGAGGATAAGAGGACTAGTTTAACCTTACTAGCTCACCCCTTCCCCAAGGTCACAGCTCAATGACAAGAGAAACCTTCTAGGTCTTTGACTGCTTTCCTGGGGGAGAGTGAGAGTGTTGAGTGTGCAGCTGTGCAAAATGCTGCCGGAGAGACCCACTTCTTTCTCACCCCGCCCAGAACGCCCAGGTGTGCTGCACAACTATGGGATGGAGAGGAGTTGGGAGAACAGACAGGCCTCTTGGAGGGCTTCAGAGGGACATGGATCCTACTAACTGCTTTGTGGATCCATTAGAAAGCCCCCCAACAAGATGCTAGATGTGCCCAACCTACGGATTCCTGATCTGGCCCTCAGCCACCCCTAACACTCCATTTGTCTCTCCACCACACACCTCTACCCTGTGGCTGGCTCCCTGTGTGCTCCGAGAGTGGCAAGTGTGAACCTTTGCAGATGGCTAGTGCATGCCAGCAAAAAGCTGCAGGACTGGGTGAGAGCACACTACCTTGAGTATTCAGCACCACCCTAAGGAAAACAAAACTGGAGGCTGTTGGCACTTGGCCTGGCTTTACAGAATCAAGATAAGTTGATAAGTATACAATCTGAAGAATTCCCCCTAAAGAGGGGACAAGAAATGGGGAGCAGGTGAATTCACAGAAAAGGTCTGATAGAGCCTCAGAATTCCTGGCAGGACTGACAGACGGTTCTTCTCTCCCAAAGCCAGGCAGTGAAGACTGGAGGAGGCGACCTGCGTCTTCAAATACAAAGATAGCAATGCAGGCTTCAAGGCACATGACAAATCAAGGAAACATGACACCACCAAAGGAACACAATAATTTTCCAGTAACTGACCCCAAAGAAATGGAGACCTGTGGTCCTGAGTGTTCTCAGCACACACACAACAAGGTGAGTCTGTGAGGAATGAACCTGTTTATTAACCTGACTGCGGTCATCGTTTCACAAAGTATACGTGTGTCAGCTCATCATGCAGTACGCTTTAACTATATACAATTTTATTTGTCCACTATACCTCAGAAAGCTGAAAATGTTATCAAAATCTTGAAATTGCAAAATCTGAGTGACTAGTTATAAAGATTCACTACTATCTTTATGTTTTGTGTGTTTGCAAAAATAAAATGTGGAATGTGCGGAGCAGTGAAAGATGAGGTGGGAAAAGCAGGCTGGGCCCACCTGGAGTCGGCTGAAATGCCAGCGAGGAACTTGGACTTCATAAGTAATGGGGGACCACCGAGAGCAGACGAATGACACTATCGACATGCAGAGCAAGGAGTCTAGAACCTTGACTGCTACAGGGAGAGAGTCGTGGAGAAGCCCGGGGGGAGCAGGTTAGAGATTCACTTGCAGCAAAAGAGCCCCTGAGTGCTGTGTTACCCTTCGGTGTGAGAGAAGTCCACTCTCCTGTGCCACAGTGAACAAGTGGCCCTTACAGCCCCGAAGACCCACCCCACTGCCCACACGCGGACCAGGCTGAACTCACAAGGTCCCTCTCCCCTGCGGTCCCTGGGGCTGCTGTCAGGGCTGGGCCAAATGCTGGAGAGCAGAAACTGATGTAAAAGAATGGTCAGTAAGACATGAAAACCAATATACATTAACCGGAAAAGTAAATCTACAACTAATAATAAAATAGCAGGTTCATGTTCTCAGCCTGCTCCCTCCACCACCACCAAACGAAAAGTATTCTGGTTGTTCCATCTCCCACCACCACCTTAAGCACATTCTTATCCTCTTTTATTTGGACTATGCAACACTCCTACTTGGTTCCCTGTTTTTAATTCTCGTTCTTCTCACCTTTCATCCTCTAGCTGCTGCATTGTCATCAGGAAACAGGAAAGTAAAACACAGACACTTGCAGAGACGCGCACACACAGATCTGATCGTGCCGTTCGCCTGCTTAGTCTCGAAAGCACTCACTGGCTTCCCATTGCTTGTAAAGCCCAAGTTTCTAACCGTGTGATCTGAGGCCCGCTCCACATGGGCCCAGAGTACTCTTCTCAGCTCATCCCCCATGCTTCTCACATCGGGAAAATGGAGACAACTGTACTGAACAACGATAAAAAATAAAAGTAAAAATAAAAAAGAACCTATTCTACTGTTTCTCAAAGTAAGGCCCCTGAGCACCGGAGTTAGCCTTCTGGGATGCTTGTGAAAACCCCAGTCTCATGAGTCAGAGTGTTTTAACAAGCTTTGCAGCCACTTTGATGCACACAGCGCTGGGGGCTGCTCATCCAGAGTCACGGGGCTCTTTCTTCCTCTGTCTCGCCTGCCCTTTTCCTTTTCCACTTCCTTCCAAGCCTTGTTCACATAGCATCTTTTTCTCATGAGCCAAAGAAATTGTTCCCCCATATCCATTTCCTTAGTACTCTTTACAGACCCTCATAATACAGCTCTGTTTTACAGATGCTTGCTACAGAGCTGTCTCATCTGTTGGGTTATGAATTTCTTGCCATTAGGAATCACGTCCTATTCACCTTCCCCCCTCTGAGTGACTATACAGTTTCTCTGTTTCTACAACGAGAAATGTGCAACTGACCATATTTCCCGCTCCTTGTAGCCACCTAATGTACTTAGAGTCAAATTCACAGCTCAACCATCACAATGATAAAGGCTGCCATTGGCCATGTGTCCGTGTCCTCTTTTCTTCCTAAATGTGACCTATTTCAATTTATACTTTCCTTAATATTATTAAAAACCTGTATTTGGCCATTTTATTTTATATATTTCTGCTACAAACTGCCTCAGATAATTTCTGGAACAAGGTGAGAGAGATAAATTAATTATTTATGTCAGTATTCCTACCACCCAGGACAGCGTATGGCAGATAGAAAATACTCATTAACTATTTGTTAAATTTAATCAAAAGAAGAAAGTTATGTGGATTCCATGACAGTTATTTTACTCATCGCTTAGAAGACTTTTAGATGACAGTGTTCAAGAACTAGAGCTGCTAGAAGAATGCCTGATTGATAAGTGCCTGTTGCTACACAAACTTCACTTGATTTCAGCTACTTAATTGTCTTAATTTTCCACCTTGACCCCTACGCAAGCCGTCTTAGGGACTCAGGCTATTCATGAACTTTGTAATCTGTGATTAATCTTTAAAAAAAAGAAAACATCAATGTGTGGTTGCCTCTCGTGCACCCCCTACTGGGGACCTGGCCTACAACCCAGGCATGCACCCTGGCTGGGAATCAAACCAGTGACCCTTGGGTTCACAGGCTCCAGCTCAATCCACTGAACTACACCAACCAGGCTGTGATTAATCTTAAAAGATGGTGAACAGGTAGATTTCTGCTGAGAACTGAGAAGGGGAACAAGGATAATGTGTTCAGGTGAGCAGGGAGAGCAGTGTTCCAACGAGATTGCACAAAGCTGGAGCCAAGGACAGAACACAGGGAGGAAGGGATGTCACACAGGGAGGTGGCAGCAGACCCAGTGTCAAAGCCCAAAGGTAGATACAGGACTGCTCTTTGCTGAAGACACAGCGTTGCAATGTCCCCGTGGGATGCCAGAAAGATGAGTGTGTTCAAGCACATGGTTGAAGATGGCAACAGCAGACCACTGCAAAATAAAACTACAAAAAGTTAAGAGAAAATCTTGAGCAAGGGAAAAAATTCACTTTTATACTCATTTTTCTTCAATTTACATCTAATATTTCCTCAAGAAAAGCTATCATTTCCATCCCTGTGTATTATATCTGAAGAAATAACAGCAGCGCCCAAGTCTCTTTAAATTGGAGGGTTTTCTTCCTAGGAAACACATGAGCATGTGTGGTCTTGACTTTCAGTTGTCACCTCAGCTTTCTAAACAAGTCCCTCACGCTTCCAGTTAGCTATTCTCAAAGCATCATTGGAACTTTTTTTCCTTTGAAGAAAAATAAAAGGATGCTAAGCTACCAATTGTTACACATAACCAACTACATGTAAAATGACATGTCTAATTTAAATTTTCTTTCTATATCTTTGTTTCAATCAAAAGTATCAATTCAGTGTGTTTTCCCCATGAAAACCTAGAGAATATAGGATAATCTTTGAACAACATAAAAAAGGTGTTAATATTAAATAGATTAAGGTAGAAAGTTTATAGAAATGAATTTATTCACATTGTTTCATGTCACATATGATGTGACAAAAATCCTGGTCTGTTAAAATGAAATATGGCCCTTTCCCCCAAAAGAAATTAACAGAGGAACTGCTACTTATAGCTTGGCATAGCTGGTCCGTTTATGTTGTCTGGGGTCAGTGGGCTCTTAGTACTGACTGAGAGTTTGATCTGGGCCTCCAACAGTTCTGTGTCAATGGCAGGGCAGTCGCCAAGCCAGCTGGGGCAAGGAGGCCTGGTTCACCTGTGATGTGAGGACCATCTGGCAGGTTATGTGAGAATGAGATCGGGGTCAGAGGTTATGTGGTATTATGGCAGAGGGCCCTTGGTCAGCTGCAGCTGAGCTGAGAGTCAAGCGAGTCTCCCATTTGTCACCCCAGTCGTAGCTCGTGGACCAATACACTCTAACTTGCAGGCCTGTCCTTCCCACACTGTGAACCCATTTAGTGTCTCAGCTTTCTTTGAACCTTTCTGCAATCCCCCAATTCCTGAAATCTTAGAACTGCTTCTGTTTCCTCTGTAACACTCTAGTTTCCTTTCTGGGACCTCAGTTCCTTTAACGGAAGTCCTGACACCTTGTCAGAGTTCAGTCAGTCCCCACTCCCCCACCACAACCCCGCCCATGGCTAGTGCAGAGCCTGTACCCTGACTTGCTGAAAAACTCCTAAGTGATAGAGCCAGGACTCAAATTTAGGACTGAAAAAGGACAAAAATCTGACTCTCTATTCCTAGCAATGCATTAGAAACAAAGAGACCACAGAAGCAAGCTAGAATCTTAAAGCCATTTCATCGGCATGGTTTGGTGTGTTGTACATGTCCATGTACCCTTCCAAACACCTGCAGCCCTACCTCTTCCTTCAGCCACTGAAGAAACAACCAGTTCTGTGCGGGTTTTAATCAGCCTCATGCACAAGCCGACTGGTAGCGTCTCACTTCAGCCTGTGTCTCATCCTCTCACTTTCCTCTTCGTGTCTTCTCCGAGGCTACACCATGGGACAGCACGGCACGGCATTCCTGCATGGGCAGCCCGAAATGCAGAGGAGTTAACATCTGAGACCACTGTCTGCTAGGAGCAGATAAGAACCAATAAATAAATGGTTCCTTCTTTCATCCCCCATGGACATTCTGAAATACATTTCATATAGATCCTCAGAAAGTTCCTCAGGGTCAAGTCCCCATGCTGTGATCATTTCAACAACACATGCTTATGTTGGATTTTCTTTCATCTCTGTTGCTTTTCTCTTACTGCTACCCGTGGGACTACATTCCCACGTAAACTACCTGTGCTCCCGAGACAGACTACCTTTGCCTCAGGCTCTGCTTTTAGAGGAGCCCAGGCAGGTGGACAAAGAAGTGACCATTTCACAAGAAAGCCAGTCCAACCACTCACATATTACGCTCTGCTGGTGACCACAGTGATTTCTCTCCCCAATTCTGTTTGATTGTTTTCATCCTGGGCACATGATGGCATCCCAAAACTCCTTCCTTTTCAAAAGTCACTACTGATTAAAATGTCTTGAAGAGATTAGGATGAAGATCTGACCATAGCTGAGTGCAGCCAATGTTTCTGAGCCAAAGCCATAGCAAGGGCAGGGCTTCCACAAGGCAGATGAAGAATGTGAATCTAGACAGAAGATAAAAGCTTTTCCCGCTACAAAGATTAAAATCAGTGTTCTGGGAAGAAGATGGTCAAACACCTTTGATTATCACACAAACGCAGGCATCTGCGTTGGGGCCGCTGATCTATCTCCACAACTCTGTCCCTGTAGCAGTCAAAGTTCCAGACCCCTTGTTTCCTTAAACCTTTGCTCCTTTCAATCAATGTTGCCTCTTCTACATCTCCACTGTCAGTGGGGAGGTCAGTGCCATTACTGTCAGGCTCAAGAAGTTCTGGGGGAAATCAGAAGGATGCAGCAAATCAAGAGAAGCCCCACTGCAGCCACACTTAGCGTTGTGCCCCGGAAGCAGAGGTGAGCAGTGAACGTCCCTGGGAGCCCTACTTGACATCCTTCCATCTTCGTGAGCACAGGCAGAACTGAGGAGTACGCCTGCCCCTTTCCCAGCCCTGAAATGAGATTTATTCATTTTCCCAGATGCTTATTTAGAGCTGATTTTATATGGAGACTTTCTGCTAAAATAAGCTTTACCTTTTCAATTATTTTCATTCTGGTGATGCTTATTTGCTTTTAGATGCCATCATTTATTCTCATGGTACCTATAACACATTGCACAAAGAAATGGCACTTCCTCTTTTTGCTAAATCTAATAATATTCTAATGATTGCCTACAGGTATCCTAAATCTCTGCAGCAATAATGATCTCAATGGCCATTATCCTGCAGGCTCTGTCCCAGGGCTATAGCCCTTTAGGGCATATGGAGCTAATATGAGAGATGATTAAATCTTTTTGATGATCTCTCTTTTGTGTGTCAAGCATAATTTGTGGTCTAAATACTTAATATCTATTGCACACATATGTACGACTTTTTAGAATTGCCTGTACATGCTGCTGTGATTAGTAAAATGCAAACCCATAGATTTACTTTTTAGCTTAACAAATATAGTGGTGAGGCTAGTCTTTAAAAATATTTTAAATTAAAGCCCTAGTGCCCCTGAATATTGGGCAATCAGTGTCATGGAAAGAAGTCCCAAGACAGCAGCCAGTAAAGGCTCAGGCTCCTGTCCTAGCTCAGCTGTTGATGGGCTCGGAAGACTTAAGCAAGGTGTTGGTCTTGGTAAACCTCAGTTTCTTCATCTGTGAGAAGATAACCAAGACATCATGGAAGCGTTATAAGAAATATAAATTGGCCCTGGCTGGCGTAGCTCAGTGGATTGAGCGTGGGCTGGGAACCAAAGTGTCCCAGGTTCGATTCCCAGCCAGGGTACATGCCTGGGTTGCAGGCCATAACCCCCAGCAACCGCACATTGATGTCCCTCCCTCTCTCTCTCTCT